TTCCCAAGCCCCCTGCCTGGACAGACCCAGTGTACCAGTCCCAGTGCCCCTTCCCACGGCTTCACACCCCACACATGGGAAACAGCTTCAGGCATGACCTGTGCTCTGGATCCTCAGGAGGGTCAGGACCCCGTGTCAGGGGCGTGATTGTGAGCAAGAGCAGCACCACATCTATTGATGGGTGCTGAGGTGGGTGCTGCTGAAGCATTCTGCCTCCTCACACATGCTCTCCACAGGCACTGGTGCGGTGAAGAAGGTTGCGGCTTGTCCCACTACCTTATTAGATCATTTTGATATTGTCTGTGTGCCCCAGTTTTGGAAACCCAAACCAATTTATATGTGCAGTGGAAGAAAAATTCCACCGGGGTACTTCTGCCAAGTGATACAGCCCACAGCACACTCCCAGGCAAGGTGCCATTTGCAATGGGTTGTAAGCAAGCACATTTGCCAAAGCTGGGAAGACACGAAGTTCCCTTGCAACCAACTTCATGAAGGACATCTGCTAAATCCATAGAGCACACCTTTACCTGCTCAGACTTCTCCTTACATGCATGAAATGCAAACTTGTTTCCAAAGTGACAAATGAGACAGTGGAATTGGAAATGTCTCCACTAGCAATATGTGACAAGAGTAAGAGCAGTTATGGACAGCATAAGAGCTTCAGGCTGCTTAGATTCCCTGGCATCATTTTATGTTCACTTTGTAATTTTAAGATTATTGATGTTTTATGGGCAAGATATTTTTTTCTTTAGTTAATGATTAGGATCTGGAAAACAAGATTGCTTCCTCTGGGAAAAAAAGCCACTCGTCTTCCCAAATTTAATTGTTAGACTTCACCCTTAGTAGAAGACTTCTGTCTTCTGAATGGCAGTGGAATAAGCAATGTTCTTGACATCTTGACTTCTTATTCATAGAAACACAGCAATTTCAGCTCATAAGGACCTTGGCAGACCCCCTAGTCCTTTCCTAGCTGCAAATGGGATTCACTATAGACAAACCAATCAAGCAAGATGTTTGTGTAACCCATCCTTAAACCTATCCAGCGATTTTTCTCCAAGATAGGCATCCTATCCTAATGCCTGCCCTATAGAGGATAGGCATCGTGTCCTAACACTTTCCTAACTGCTAAAGAGTTTCTCCTACAGCCTTGCTACAGACCAAGCTGCTCAGGGCTGCAATAACTCAGTCAGCAGCTGAGAGCTTTTAGCCATGGGTATGACAGTACCATAATCTCCTGTCATCGTGTGCTTTGTATCTTTGATTATTTAGAGATCAATATACTGACATGTAAAGAAAAGGATATGTTCAACAGGACACTTGACCTCAGAAGCTTCTTCTATGGGAAGGCTTTCCTGTAGATAGAACATACCCATCAGACACTGCGAGCTCCATAGAGTTCAAGATTTTAGGCCCTGAAGGGAACATTACAACCTTCTAGCCTGAACTTCAACATAAAATAGGCTATAAAACTTGACCAAATAATTTATGTGTCAGGCCAATAGCTTCTGGATGAGTTATAGATCACCTCTTAAAAACTTTCAGCCTTGATTTGAAGACTTTGTGTGACAGACAGAATTTACAACATCTATGGGCAGGTAGCTCTGGTCAGTCTTTGTGTCTCAGCAGTTTTTATTAATACAGCAAGTGTCTCTTCTTATCGTATTAGTGTTATCATGTCCTGTATCTACAGTACAACATATGGTGGAAAGATAATGTGAAACTGTCAAGGGACTGCAACTTCAGTTGATCACTAGTGCTCCCCAAAGTTTAAGAACACAGCTAAGATAGAAACATACTGAGAGATACTTTTATTCAAAGTACTTTTCCCTATATAGGATTTGAAAGGAGACAGCCAGGAGCCGCATGGCCACTTTCACTCTCAGAACAGGCAGAGGAGAGCAAGATAACTGACACTGTGCTGGAAGAACCCAAAAGCCATTGTAGAGGAGATGGAAGAGCACAGGGAGAACAAGTCTGTGACCTATCAGTGTGAATCATCATAGAATCATAGAATGGTTTGAGTTGGAAGGGCCCTTAAAGATCATCTATTTTCAAGCCCCTGCCATGAGCAGGGATACCACCAACTAGATCAGGTTGCTCAGAGCCCCGTCCAACCTGGGCATGAACACTTCCAGGATGAGGCATCCACCACTTCTCTGGCCAACCTGTTCCAGTACCCCACTACCCTCTGGATAAAGAATTTCTTCCTAACATCTAATCTAAATTTATCCTCTTTCAGTTTAAAACCATTCGCCCTTGTCCTATCACTGTTTGCCCACGTAAAAAGTTGCTCTCCTTTTTTATAAGCCACTTTTATCCACTGAATCCACTGAAGTCTGTCTAGACAAAGAGAAAGACAGCTTTGAATCCTATGCTGACAGAAATGTGATAGAAATGGAGGAAAAGTGATATTTTTCTGCAGACTGAGGAGGTAATGACAGACATTGCTTCTGGGATTCAGGTTGTCGAAGGACACAGAAGAAGGCTGGAGTAAAGTCAAGACTGAATGAAGAAACAAATCAGCCCAATATGTGTGCCCTGGATGAGGGACAGATTTGCAAACAGCAATGGGAGAAGTGGAAAAGTTCGGCATCAAGGATAATGCAGAATAATTGTGGAAGAAGGCAAACAATGAGCTGAATCAGAAACCTATGAGAGGACCTGAGGTTTCTAAGGTTCCTCTCCCCAGGAGACCATCTGAGCCATTTAGATGAGAAAAGCTCAAATAAAGACAGAATTTCTTCTGGTTGAAATATTGCCAGAGATTAGTCACACAGGTATTGAAATATAAGTAAGTACTGATATATATGTTCAGTTTCCTAATCACAAAAGCTTGCAGAGAGGCCAAGAGGAATGAGAGATGGCCTATTGAAAAGCAGACAGCCACGGACTGAGTTTTGCAGTTCAGTCACCAGATACTCACAAAGATTTGGCAGAGGCAGACAGAGCTGCCCTCACAGCTTTGAAGACACGATCAGGAGAATGGAGTGCCCTCCAGCACCCCCATGAAAAACAGAGATGAGGGAGTATGTAGTACCGTTGGGTGACATTCCACTTCAAAACCCACAAGAAAACCCCAGGGGGCAGGTGATGAAGCGTTTGGAGCAAAGCAATGAAAACACCAAGAAACTCAGTATACATCAGCAAAGAACCCATGTCTATACCTCTATAGCCTGGCAGTGGTTGGAGCATTAACTTTGTATGAACTACTTCCAATCACCAGTCGAGGAGGCACAAAATGATAGAGGTGACATGTACTGTAGAGTGGATCTCAGGCTGATAAGCTCTGCTGGGCTTGTCAAGTTGGGCTCTGTGTCAGTACTGCATGAGCTAGCACATCCAAAGAACCCACCCCTCTGTACCTATCTGCTAATGCAAAGACACAACCAAGGTTTGATATGGTAGAATTGCTTGAGATGACCCTCACAAGGCTTGTAGCACAACCTCCCCACCTTCTAAGAGTGAAGCTGGCTGCTCAAGGTTGTTAGGAAAGACCTGGAGGGTCAGGTACAGTGTGACAGGACCCTGGCTGGAGGGATCCTGCTCCAATGACTGTGTTATAAAATTTGGCTCCCAGCTCCCTGTCCCTTAGGGAATAGCCAGCCACTACAGTGCCCTGGCAGTCTTCATTCGCCTCTTAGGAACCATTTCCTTCACTGTGAAGTCATGAGTTGCTTTAAAATAGTGGCTGGGAATATCTGAAATACCAGGTCAGTACATGACCACCTTGCCATTCTAATAGTAGACAGCCTCATCAATCCTGCCATCACAGTGGAGGTGCCTCTGGTTTGCTCAGGGAAGGTGTAATATTCAGCACCTGCAGCAGTCCCAATCTTTTGGCAGGCCAAGACTTTAAACCAGGATTTCCAAAGTATGCAGTCTAAAGCACCTGTGGCCATCCTGGACAGATCCCACAATTTTCAGAGGCAGTTCCCAGCCCTTGCTGTGCCACAATGCACCAGCCACTGCAGAGCCTTCTCCAGAGACCAGAAGAACCTCCCCTTCACAGGAAAGCAGCAGCCATTTGGCCTGATGGACTACCCCAGAGGTAGAAAAGCTAAGAAGAGGAGGAACAGGGAGCTGCTTCCCCTTGAAGCTGAAGCAGATGTGCTTTTCATGCTGATCTGGAGCTACAGTCCCAGCCCCAGTTCAGTGTTCCACTGATTAACTGGCACCCATGGACAGACTTTGGGAGCCACACTGTGGACTATTGACCACTGTCGTGGTACATGCTGTGGTGGAGCTGTGGCCTCAGGTTGAGTGAAATGAGATGCTTTTGCTTTCTCTTAGTTTAATGTCTTTGGCTGGGGTAATGCTGGCAAGGACAAGCTGTGTGGTATCTTGCCACAGCTGGTGAAAGGCAAGTTACTGAGGAACTGTGCAGTTCAGAAACCATGGCATGGGCGTCTAGAGAGTCCAAGCAACTGTTTCAGCTCCTCTGAGGGCATGAATGTTTCTCCAACATGTAAAGCTTCCAGCTCTACATTTTCAAGTTTTAATTCTTGGGTTTCCTCCAAGGTCCCTAATTTCTCTGCTGACCACATATTTATCTCAGAATATGGGATAAGCAAGAAAGCCAGAGAGTCCATCGTTTCAGAGGCTTTGCACATCTCTCCTCCAGGGCCGGTGCCCCACGCCGTGCGTGTTTATGAAAGCAGGGATACCTCCATCCCTCCCTCCTTTCCTAACCCCACCTCCCCAGCACGGCTGGAGGCGAAGCGGGGCCGGGGCCTACGGGGCTGGCCCGGCCCGGCCCGGCCCTTCTCTGCGCAGGGGCGGCGGCGGCCCCAGCCCGCTGGCGGGCACCGGCCCCAGCCCGCCGAGCAGCGGCCCCGCCGCCGCCGGTGCCGGCTTTTTGGCATCCCTGATCGCGGCTGGCCCCTGTGATTGGCTGCGCGGCTCTGACCCCGCTCGGGCTCCCGGCTGGGCGGATAAAAGGGGCCTGAGCCGGGGGCTCCCAGGCATTCCCGGAGCGGGCACCAGGGACCGCCGGCCGCAGCATGACGGGCAAAGCGGGCGCGGCGCTGGCCCCCAGCCTGCCCGGCAAGCCCAAGCCCGACGGCGCGGCCGCCGCCGCCCCGCCACCGCCTCCGCCGCCCCCCGCGGCAGGGGTCAAGCCCAGCTCCGGGCCCACCCCTCCTCGTTGCACCGGTTTCGGTATCCAGGAGATCCTGGGCTTGAACAAGGAGCCGCCGTCGCACCCTCGGGCCGCCCTGGACTCTCTGCCCGCCGGGCACCTGCTGGCGGCCCGCTCTGTGCTCAGCCCCGCCGGGGTGGGCGGCGTGGGCATGGGGCTACTGGGGGCCGGCGGCATCCCTGGCTTTTACACTCAGCCCACCTTCCTGGAGGTGCTCTCCGACCCCCAGAGCGTCCACCTGCAGCCCCTGGCCCGGGCTCCCGGGCAGCTGGACAGCAGCCAGACGGCCAGCTCAGGTAGGCACGTCCCCGGCCCACGGGGACTCGCCGCGCCCCACCAGCGCAGCCGCCCGCATCCCGCGCCCCGCCGGGAGGCCACTTGCCCGGCGGCGGGAGGGCGATTTCGTTTCGATTCCGAGGAAGAGGAGAAGGGCAGACGGGACCGTATTTTCCCCCTTTCGGGGCTGCGGCCGCTGCGTGACGGCGTGGCCGGGGGCGCCCGGTCCGGGAATGCGCGGAGCCCCGTCGGAGCGGTCCCCCGCCACCCCAAGTCGTTGCCGGAGAATTAGGGGCCTTTCGGCATCCTTCTCCTAGACGGCAGCAGCCTCCCACAACCCTTCCTTCAGGCCCGTTCCCGAGGCCTCCCCAGGTACCCCTGGAGCGGCAGGCAGCAGCGCCCGACCCTGGCCCCGAGGGCAACCCCTGACTTCCTCCCGGCAGCGGCCGGAGCCGTCCGACGCGGTTTCCGTCCCGGGCCGTGCCCGCAGCACGGCCCGCCGAGCAGCACAGCGCCGGGGCCGGGCAGGTTAGCGCGGTGCCGCGGGCAGGAGCGGGACCGGAGCGCGGCCGGAGCGCGCATCGAAATGTGGGTCCCAGTTCCGTCCCTCGGCTGCTTCTTCGGGGCAAAGGCGGCGGTGTCCTGTCCTTAACATCCCCGGGCCGTTGCAACCCTCGGGGGCTGCGGATAGGCACCAGCTCCTCCCGGGGTTTGTTTTTGCTGGTAGCTCCATAAACCTCAATTTCTCCGTCCCCGCTCCGGTGTTTCTGCGGCGCAGTCCGGGATCCCCGGACTGGGGCAGGCGGCCGCGGATGCCCGACCAGGGGCAGGGGGTTGCAGCTTCCCTGTTTTCCTACATTTTGGTTGAGCTCTCCGGGCTCTGCATTTTAGCAGCGAGACAACAGCAGCCTCAGCAAACGACACCGGGGGAGAGAAGCGAGAGCTGCAGCCCACTCCCCGCCCGGAGCCTTCCCTGTCCAGGGTGGATCGCCGCGACCGGCCCTCACCGGGACCGGGAGCGGCGCTGGGGCCACGCTGCACTGGAGGGAGCGGCCGGCGTCGTGCCCCGTCCGCGGCGCGACCGCAACGAAATCTTCGGCCAGAGCTGGCGGAGGGCGGGGAGCCGCCGGGCCCGGCTCTACCTGGGGGTCCCTGGCGGGGAGGGAGCCCCAACCCACAGCCGCTGCCTGTCTCTCCGCAGATTCCGAGGATGTCTCCTCCAGCGACCGAAAAATGTCCAAATCTTCCCTAAACCAGAGCAAGAAACGAAAGAAGAGGCGGCACAGGTAAGCCAGGGGAGGCCACCCCGCCGGCTCTCGCCGCCTCAGTCCCCAGGGAACCGGGCACCACCGAGCCCCGCCGCGCTGGCGGGGCCGACCCGCTCCGGCCTGGAGCGTAATACTCTTCCCGGCACCCGCCGCCGGAGCGCCCCTGCGGCTTCTCCACCGGGTCCTTCCCTTTTTCTTTCTCCCCGTTCAAAATAAATCGGAATTCGGGACGTGCCTACAGGGAGCGTGGGGATGGACCACAGGTGTCGTTTTATTAATTTTTTTCTGGCTGCGGATCCAGGTATTCCCAGTCGCAATGCCGAACAGCACATGAGCATCTAGGCGGAATAGGGATCACCGGTGTTCGGGAAGAGAAAAATCATCCACCTGTCAGAAATAATAAAACCCGTTATCAGCTCCACATACAGCAATCTTAATATTGGCTGTCAGCAAGACAGAATTCCTATCAATAATTTAAATATTTTATTACTTAGAAATAAATGTTTTGCCAATAGATTAAATAATTGGGAATCTGAGACAACCTTCAGAGAAGCTGAAAAAGGCTGGAAAATTGCTTAAGGAAACGAAGATCCTCTTTGGGATTTGGTTCCCCTCAGCATGGTCAGGGTAACAGACTTTGCCTGACTTCTCCCACAGTTAAAAAGGAGTTGGATTGTCTGCGCCATATAAACAGAAACAAAAAATCCTGTGCTGGGTTCTGGCGTTGCTGTGGCCGGAGCGCCAGGACAAAGGAAGGCCAGGCACCATCCACGGAGGGTGATTTAGGAATAATTAAATCAATCCTGCCACGATGCAGGAAAGGTGGATTAAAAGACGCCCCAGTGAAAGCTTACCAGGATACGGGGTGGAAGGAGACCGACTGTCCCAGGAGGCGTCCTGCTATGTATGCAACAGGAGGCTCGGTCTGTAGGGCTCTTCCCGAACTCGGAGCCTCTCCACAGGCAAATATTACCAGTTTGGGTGCTCTGGAGTAAATACGAGTTCATCTTCTTTATGACCCGTTCAGGACTGAGCGAAAACACAGCCGAGTCTGGTGTACAGCTCCCCGTCTGGATGGGGATTTGTTTTATTTTCAGTTCTATACAGAAACAGACCTGCAACATTTGTCTGTAGTTGTATATTCTGTACTAAACGGTTAAGACCCCTAGTTGGACCAAGGAAGGGCTGGGAAATGACCAATAGCCTGCATATAGCTGCAGGATAGAAACACCAAAAGGGGCAGTGGATTGTGTATTGCAAAAGGGACAGGGGCTACCCGAGGATGAGCTAAAAAGGGAAAACTTGAACTGAACGTCAGGCAAAACCCTCCTGCTGCTGAGCCTGGACAGGCTTCTGCGCTATTGTCGGAGGAAGGTGGAGGGGAATGCTTGAAATGTAAACTGGATCAAAACTGGAATAATTTTTTCTGTGGTCCCAGAGAGAGAAAATACACGAATTGATGTGGCTCTGCTGTCCCTAGAATTCACAGATTTGTCAGAATTGAAGAAAAACGGTTTGAAAAGATAATGGATTTAAGAATGAATTTAAAGAAGGGTCTGGTTGCAGGCAGGTCCCTTGCATTTGCATGCTGCTTTTGTTAGTAATATTATCGATCTGATGGAATCCTTTTCATTCTGTATAGTGGAGGATATTTCTGAGAATTTCTGTTTATGCTCTCTGGAATTATAGGGCCCTTCTGAAATCTGGATATATTTTAGAAAAAGACTATTTTCTCTTTCCTTCCAGGAGCTATATGTTTCTTAGATTGATGATATTTATACATTCACTTCACAAAAAGGCTGCAGTTCTTGAGTTGATAATTGTTTTATTTTGGTTTGGGTTTTTTGGTTGAATTTTTGTTTTGTTTTGTTTTCTTGGTTGCTATTTGGTTTGGGGGTTTTTTTGGTGGTTTTTGTTTGTTTCGTGTTTTTGTTTGTTTGTTGTTTTTTGGGGTTTTTTTTTGCCATCAGAGTATTGTTAGTTTATATGAAAAATTGCATTTTCTGTACTAGAGGAGTTGAAGGGTGGGAGTTTTAATCCTCGGGGAGTGGAAGTGGTCTGAGACTTCTCATCCATCTGCTGGAGAAGGGCTTTCATCTGTCTCAGCTTTCCAGCTGCTGATTTTTCAATTTGGTTGTCCCAAACTGAGAACTTGCTGTGCAATGGCAGGTTGGGCTGCTGCCCGCCCAGAGTGGTCCAGGAGGATTTCCAGAGGATAATAGGGTAATGCAAGCTGTCAGGGAGCAGCTAATGTGATATCAGGGTGGGAGCAACCAGGGGAAAGGCAGAGGAAGGGAGCTGGCCCTGGATCTTGTGGGGAAGGCGTGGTGAAAAGTGGTGGGGAGTAGAGTGGATAAAACATTCAGAGAATTCATCCATGGACTGGGACTCAAGGTGAAGGATTATTTGCTCATGGAGATTGAACAGGCTAAGAATCAGCAGCTGGGAAAGGGCTCAGCACCTCTCTAGGCAGAGTGCTGAAGGGATGCTGCTTCATCTCAGTGTGACTATCAAAGGGTTAAGAAATGTCTGGATGAAAGAGGAGGAGAGGTGTGGTTTTAAGCCTGGCCAGGGTGGGTTCAAAGTTGTAGGGGACATAAAGGATAACGACACCTGCCAGGATCCTTGAAAGAGGCACTGGAGTCTGAGATGTAAGAGCAGCTGCCATCACTGTGGGTGCTCACTGCTGGGGAGGGACAGTCTCTAGAGGCAGGTCCTTGAAAAGGGAAGGTGATTTGTAACTGTTAAAAGTGCTGTCTTCTGGCATTTTCTGGTTCTCCTTTCACCCTGGCACCTGACCTTTGGGCATAGAAACATAGGAGATGGGGAAAAGTTATGCATTAGCAGGTTACCCAGGTTTCACTGTCCATTTCTCTGACTCTTCATCATCTTTGCTACTTCTTCTTATGTTTTTTGATCAAAGAGTTTTACTCCCCTCAGGACAATCTTCACATCCTACCAACTGGAGGAACTGGAAAAGGCCTTCAATGAGGCCCACTATCCTGACGTTTATGCTAGAGAGATGTTGGCCATGAAAACAGAGTTGCCAGAAGACAGGATACAGGTAATCATATCTCTTGGATCCCCTTATCATGCTCCTCTCAGCCATTTTCATCCCTCCCTGAAGAAAAGATAGCATGGGAAGGGTGACATTTCTCTGGATAAACTTCCCCAAGCTGTCAATTCTCCTGCTTTCCATGGGTAGGCAAAGAGATCAGCTATTCTTGGCAGATTTGTATTTGGTGTTTGTATGTCAACATGTGCTATGCATGGTGTGTTGTACCAGTGATTTAGGGTGTGTGTAACAGGGAATCTTAATTCAGAGAAGGAGAACAGGCATGCAAGAAAAGACCACAGAGTTTTGGGGACTTGCTATGGGAAAGAAGGTATAGGCAGGAAGAGAACCTCCTGGAGACTGTGTCTGGGTGGGCACTGTGAGAGGGAAAGAGCTCATCTCTGCTCCTTTGGGCACAGAAGGATGCACAGGGATGGCATAGGCAGCTAGTAGTGCTGTGGGTGGACTCAGTGTGGGAATGATGGGGGAGTCCCAGAGAGGTGTTTGCACCATCATTTTCACTTGAGAAGGCAAATGCCTCCTCAAGTGAAGTTTCCCTAAAGGTTTCTGGGGATATATATATATTTTTTTAAATTTGTTAAATTTTGTTAAGCTTACAGTTTTTAACATTTGGGTTTTAGTTGCATGTCAGTCCTGTCATGCCATCATGAGGAGGTAGAACAAGGTGGTGTGGAGTATCACCACTGTGTGGTGAATCCTCCGGTGATAAGGAGCAGTCTGAGCTGCAGGGCTGTGCCAGCACCATCCTTTGTCCTGTGTGGCAGCAATAAACGCAAGCAATCATTACAACCAAAAAGCCAGAGAAGACTTACAGCTGCTGTGAACAGTGTGGGAGGCAAAATGTGCTTGGATGGACTACACATGATATTCACAAGGGTGGGCTCCAGCAGCTTTTGTTGCCTCCCTTCACCCATGACTTGCTCCTGCCAGGTTGCTACATAAGGCATAGGATTGTAATGGCTGAGCCTTGAGCAGCAGGTACAGGTAATATTTCTGGGCTGGCTGAGAGTTAAACTGGCCTGGTCCTCCACACAGTGGCAGTGGCTGCCTCTGTGACTGGTGTGTAGCAGTTTCTACAAGAGACATTGTCTTAAGTGCTACATTGTGTTGCGAGGGTCCTAGTTTCCCAGGTTCCTCCTTCTGTTCAGTCCCTCATGCGTGGCCGGGACCCGCTGAGCTGCTTCTTGAGCCTGTACTCTTTCTTTGCTAAAGAGATGGCCCAGGAGGCTGCTCCCTTGTGGGTTTGGAATGTAGCTCAGAGGGCACTTAGCAAGATAACACTGATGCTGGAAGCTGCTGCGGTCTAACCCTGTGCAGAGACAGGAAGATCCTCGCAAACAAAAGTACAGCCTTTTTTCCCCTCAGTCCTGAGACCCCCTCACCAGCCTTATTTTTATGCTTAAGCAAGAGTGACATCCTTATAAAAGCAAGTCGTGCTTCGTATCCCGTTGATCTGGCAGGACTCCTGCTGACCTAACAGCTTGTAGATAACCTTCGTGCTGACAGGATTTCCACCAGTCTTCAGAGATAATGGCTCATCATCTGAAATCCTACCTGATGCATTAGGATTTTGCTCTGAGCAACAAGCCCTGATGCTTTGCCTCTAAAGAGTGAGATGGATGAAGGGTCATTTCTCTTCTTGTGACCCTGTAGGACATCAAGTCAAGAGAGGAGAGACTTATCAGGAGTGTAGTGTTGCCTGCACCCACCATCTGATGCTATCCTAGAAAGAGGATCCTTTGATTTCCCATAAAGGACCTTTTCAGCGAAGAGGTTTATCTGGTGGCACAGTATATGTTGAACTCCAGAGGCACTATTTCTCTGGCTGGAACTGAGGACCTTCACTGTGTGTGAGGTGGAGGGAGATACTATGGCAGAGAGTGCAGAGCTGGACACTGTATGTACTGCTTCAGCATCTGGAGCATCCTTCCAGTGCTGAGACTCAGTGTTTTAGCAAAATAGAGGCTAATGTATCTTAACTGTCACTGACTTGCTGCCATGTCCTTCTGCAGCTGGCTAATAAACAACTGCCTACTCTCCCTGTGTTGCAGAATTTTTAAAACTAAGAGGGCTCCTTACTCGGACCCCTCTGCCCTAAAGATCAGGTTAGACTTGGACAGCAGAAGCACCCCATGGTCTGACCATCAGGTGTAACCAGTGGCATGTGTATTCCAAAAGAAAGTGCTTGTGGGTAACAGTTTTCCTCATCGTGAAAGGGGAAATAATGAGAAACAGCAGAATTTATGTGGCATCTCTTGTGTGAGAGCATGAGCACCCTGCCAGGGTGAGCATCGGAGTCATGTAGAAGTCCTGAGCACCACTGTTCTTTCCGGTAGGTCAGCAATCGATTATCCCTTATCACATATTCTATGAAATTTCCTTATCCATAGTTTTTTGTATATGACAAGCCATGCCAAGATAATTCCCACCTTTGATCATTCTTCTTGATATTTCACCTCATATTCCTTTTCAACTTTAGCCCTTTGTGTTATGAGCCTAATTCTTTCCCTCTTGTTATAATGTTCACACTCTTTAAATAAATCTAAGCTATTTCTTCTCCTGGCTGTCACTTTTGGTTTTCATCATTGCTTACACAAGTTGCAAAGACCTTTCCTTAAATCATCCTTCATAAATCACACACTCATCTCTTAATCATTTGGTTGTTCTTACGTGGAGCCCATCCTGCCTGTCAGTCTTCCTGGAGATAAGAGACCACATGCTTACAACTGCATGCTGGGTGTGTTCACACTGGTTCAACTGGATTTCTGAGCCCTTGTAGAAACAGCCTTGTATTAGCACTGGTCTGCTTGCTTCCTTATTTATTTATTTCTATTTATCTAATTTGGTCACTTCAAACTTTTTTTGGACAGTTTTGTTTTGTTTGGTTTTGTTTTTTTTTTCTTAATGCTCAGAATTTTCCCTTCAGTGTTCTGGATTTCATATGGCATTTTATTAACTTTGTCTGACAGCCATAATCACAGCCCTACCAGCTCTGACACTGGCAAGAGGTGATGCTAGAGTATGAGAACAGAGCAGATATCCAGTGATACTTACTGAGTACTTTATCAGCCTCCTGGGATTTTGAACACATGTAAATATTTTAGTGTCCTGCAGCAAGAGGTTCTGCAGCAGAACTGCCTAAGTGAAGTAAACCTTGCTTTGAATCTCTTAACATCATTTATTGCCCCTTGGAAGAGACAGCTGACAATGAATCTTATTCCCATTTTCATAATATTTATAATTCCACATAGTTGAATTCTTTTCGTTGCATGAGTTTTCAGCTGCTCAAAGGAGCTCTATATTTTTTAATTTTCTTTGTGGCTTACAGTTCCTCTCATCTTTCAACATTCATCTCTCCCTCTTCTATATCATTAATGAAAGTGTTTTCTAAGATTGTTGTGAGCATCATATGTTGTGGACTTCCACAGCATTCCATGTGGGTTCTCACTGGATCCACACCTAAGAGTGATATCTACCCCTTAATTTCATTCATGGAATTATTTCCCAGGAAGTAATAGTCAAAGAGAAAGTAAATCACCTATGAAATTTGATGTGAAAGTGAAATTCAAAGAGTGCAATTGAAAGAATGATGTATAGGAACTGTTTGCAGGTAAAACCTTCAGCAGAATGCTACAAATAGCCATCAGAGGCCAAGAAAGTTATTGGTTTGAAAGAACATTGAATCCAGGAAAAAATATTCAAATCTTCCATTTAAAGACAAGATGAACATGTGATTTTTTTTTCCAAGGCAGCACTCTTTAACACCATGTGTGTCTTCCTCCCCCATTGAGCTGGCTGCTCCGGGAAGGAAAACGAGCATCTTCCCATTGGGAAAGTAATTCTTTTTCATAGGGAGACACTATGCACAAGTCAGACCAGATGTCACTGTGGCCATTTTGCAAGATACTAAAAAGTCCACATTAATCAATGTATTTGAAAATATTCAGAAGAATTGAAGTGCCCCTGTTAGAATAAACACAGACCATTCTGTAAAATCCAAGTGAGGTAAGTAGATTCCTGTGGGGAAGTATATTTTAATAAACAGAATGAAGTATTAAAAATGGCCTCAAGTATTGTGACATCTGACTTAAACTGCTGTTTCTCATAACAATACTCTTAAGTGTAATGAGTAGATTTTAGATAAGTTATCCCTATTGAATTTATTAATATGTAGCAGTTCTGAACTTTAAACACAATAGTTTCAATATTAAAGTTCAGTAACAATTTGATTTGAGATTATTGAAATGTGTGTGTATGTTTTTCCTTAAAATATGTCTCCTACCAATCAAGCAAATTGATTAATCAGTATTTCCAAAAAATAAGATCCTGGCTGCCATTGGGGGGACACTAGAGTCACCTTTTTAGGGAACTAATCAATTGAGAAAGATAATAAAAGTGCTAAAAATTGTCAGTTCATAACGTTAAAATATTATATGGTTATTATGTGGATGATGCATTTTGGGACACATAAAATTGGTCATGTAAGCAAAAGGAATCCCAAAAAGAGTCTGCTACTGTGCATGAGAAGTGGGGGGATTGTCTCTGTATCCAGCAAGTTTTGTCAGGCAGCTAAAAGGTCAGTTTTGGCTAAAACCAAAACAAGGTCAACTAAATCTCTAATTGGAAATGTATTGCTTTAGCTGCTTTCAGATTAATGCATTTCAGTATCACTGTGCAGCCTTTTGGGAGTTGAACAGGGATGGAGGAATCAGGAAGAGTAGTCATTTGGAGGGAAGCATTTGTACCAAGAGAGTATTTTTCCAGAACAAGAGCCTTACCTTGCTTTGTTTTTGCAAAAAGGTTCTCTATTTAGAGGTGAACATAATTTGGAAAGGCCTGAGGAACCTGAACTGCACTGAGCATGAGCTCAGGAGTGAACCCAAGGAGTTCCCCGAAGAAACATAATAGAAAGTGTGAAGGAAAAATTAACTTTATGCAGCTTTAGCAGCCCTGGCTTCTCTTTCTCCTGCCAGCTTTTCTTGCTTGCT